ATTCTAGCCAGAATAATTGTCACTGTCTATGTTCTTCGGGGATACTTCAGTTTGATCATTTTGCATAATGGAATACAATAGAGACAGAGGGCATGAATCCCTACATGGTGTGGATAAGATTTCTTTCCTATAACAGTTCTAAGACAATAGCAGTCTTTTAACAAACAAAATCTGTTGCAAAGTTTAAAATGGATGCCCATTCAGAAGGTTTCCCTGGACACAAACTACTTTGCATTTGATGTAGAGAAGAGTTAAAGGAAGACAAATGAAAAGTGTTTTCTGTGTAAATTTCCAAGGACAACAAAGCTTAGGCTATTCTGGTTTTAGGCAAATCTGTAGGGCATTTTTAAATAAATTCTCATTTGGGGAGTGAACAGATCTCTGAAAAACTGGTTGAATTATGGGGGCATGTACCTGGGACCCCATGCAAGGTTAGGTCTCCTTTCCCACCCATTGAGAGAATGTCCCTTCAGTTAATGTCCTGCAAAGTTTCCCAGAACAAAAAGCATTTCCTGTGACAGAGCTTAACTAAAAAGGTCCACACTTGTAATCTGTCCTTTGTTGTCCTTTTTGGAGATTTATGCATCATTTTGAATTTGATAGCCATAAGGGTTTTTTGATTGTTTTGTTTTATTTTCTATTAAAATGGTTTCTGAGCTTGGTGTGGTGCGAATCCCAGCTCTCAGGAGGCAGAGGCAGGAAGATCTCTGTGGAGTTTGATGTCAGCCTGGTCTCCAAAGTGAGTTCCAAGACAGCTAGGGCTGTTACACAGAGAAACCCTGTCCCAAAAATAAAATTTTAAAAACAAAATGGTTTTTGATAATAGAACTGGAGAGACGAGCTCAGATGCCTTGCAAGCATGGAGACTTCAATATCATATTCAGAACCCACGTCAAAAAAAAAAGCTAAGTTTGGCACATAATATCTGTGTACCAATTTTTCTCATAGGTTGGTGCTGGAAGGAAACATTCTTTTTTTTTTTTTTTGGTTTTTCCAGACAGGGTTTCTCTGTATTGTATTTTGGAGGCTGTCCTAGAACTCACTCTGTAGACCAGGTTGGCCTTGAACTCACAGAGATCCACCTGCCTCTGTCTCCCAAGTGCTGAGATTAAAGGAGTGTGCCACCAACGCCCGGAAAAAAAAAAGCTAAATTTGATGGTAATCACTTTTCATCCCAGTGCTGGGGAGGTGAGGCAGCCAGACATCTGGGTCTCACTATCCATCCATTCAAACTTAAACAGCCAGCACCTGGCCAGTGAAAGACCCTGTCTCTCAAGATAGTGAGTAAACAATTCCCGAGGAACAATACCCAAGGCTGTACTCTGGCCTTCCCATGTACATGAATCATATAGCAAACACACAAACACACACACACTCAGATATGATAGGAGATATTACCAAAGAACTTTGTCCAGTAAAGAAAATTTGAGAAGCCATATTGAGACAGACTGGGTGCCAAGATAGAGGCCAAAAAGAAAAAATAAGACTTCTTATAGATTTTAAGATCACTGTTCAAAGAACAGAAAGAAATGTGAAATTGTATTTTGAGAATTTGGAGGTATATTTGGAGTATCTGAGACAAAAATAACAAATGACATAAAGGTAGAGAAAGGTTCATAAGCAAAAGAGGTCAAGAAATTGATCATATATATGTACGTACATATATATACATACACACATATATACATATACACATGTATACATATATACCTGTATATACATACATATACATAAATACATATATATCTGGCAATGGTGAGCCCAGAAGGGGCAGAAACGGTGACTACATGAGAATATGGTGATGCCTGGCCAAAGCCACAAGTTATTGAAGACACAAAAGAAGATAAAGACACACTAATAGAGAAGGAAGAGGAGAAATATTGGCTAACAGTATGCTTATGTTGTGGGCTCACATGGCTTGGCCTGTAGCCTATGGATGGCACTACCTACAGCCACGCTTGGCACAGTTGAAAAAATAGCATATAGAATTAATGGAACCTAACCCGGGTTTTCCCTTAAACTCATTCACTACTCTTCTCCTTGTTTACAACATTCCAGCTGTTCTTGAATATTCTGTATTCTCACCTTTTCCAGGTCTTCACATTTCTTGGGATCTAAAAGGCTGTCTGGCAGTGTCAGCAACATGGGTGAGCCACAGAGGGATTCTGGACCACTGCACCTAAAGCATCATCTCCCAGCCCACGCCCAGTCACACCACCTTGCTTTAGTTTTTTTAATTACGTGTATCATTACAGAAAGCATGCATTTTCCCCTGCTTCTAGGACAGTGATGTATCTAAGACATATGTCTTTTTTAGTTGCCAGAGTCTCTGGGTGAGCCAGTTGTGTAGAACACTGCTCTTCTTTATGAACTCGTGTCTTCATTAAGCCATCCCTGCTACTTCTGAGTTGCCTGCTCACTATCCTTCTGCCTTTCAGACTGCGCTGCTTCTGCCCTCAGGCTTATTGCACAGAAAGCCCTTTAGCATTCCCTACTGCATAACAAGTGCCCAGATTCACAAGTAGTTCCCAGGCCCTTCCCCAATGGAGATGGTTGAGTCTCCTTAACTCGACTGCTGCTTTCCTAAAAGTAGACTTCTGTAGGGGTGTGTGCCTACAACGTGGATGAAAGTCCCTTCTTGCCTGAAGACCCACCGGACCTGGCTGAAAAGTGACAAAAGAAGAGGCTGCAGTTTAGAAACTAATAAAATGTGTGAGAACTAGATCAGTGTTTGAACTTGGTGATTATAAGCCCTGGTTAAGTATTGTGGCATTTTAAAACATGGCTCTGGTCTCACTATTGACCCATTAGTTCATAATATTTGGGACTCTGATGAAAGCACTGCATCTGTAGCAGTTTTCTAGGAGATGCTAACGCACAGACATGTGGAGGAACCCTGCGAGGTGAGCAAAACAACTTCCGTAATGGAAGTGAGCAACAACAGTACACTACAGCTTGTAAACTCGGGCTAGCAGAGGATTGTTCAACCAAGTTACATCCCCAACCCTGATATCAAATGGAAACTTCTCCCTAATGTCAAAGAGAGATTCTACAAGCTGAGAAAGCATTTGCCACAAATAAAACACCATATTTCTGCAGTGACTAACATCTCCTCTGTGATTCCAGAGCTTCAGATTGCCAATGCTGAAACATATTGCTGAGAAAAATAACAGGGAAGGGCCTAAAAGCTGCCTCCCTTTGCAAATACAGCAACAGTATCTGTTTCACGCGTACACCACACATTTTTGAGATTAACACTAATATCGAGTTTGTATAATTACCTATGAGATCCTTTCGTGGTATTTGTATATGGGCATACTTTAGATTTTATAGGAAATATCATGTTAATGTATGTAACTTCCCAGCCCTATTCCCTTGGCAGTGAACTAAATAAATCTTTCTTTCTAGAAAAATGCAGCAGAACAATAAAAAGAAAACTCCAATTCATTTCATCTTTAACATGGTTGAAGAGTTAAACTTTTATGTCCCTTTGGGAAATATTCTCACCTCTTCTTGGAAGTAGTTAAACATGCCTGATCTGGCCTGTACTTGACCTAACTCAACTGCTTGACAAGTCAACACCAAACTGACAGGCAATTATATTGCTTTGGTCTCTAGACACTTACAAACTGCAGCTGTAGGTATGAGCCAGGCTACACACAGAACAGTTTAAGGGACCATACACGTAATTGGAGGGACAAATGCATGATCTTAACCTGCATTCCCACAAGACTGGGGTTATCTCCATGCAAAAAGGTACCCTCCTTAAGCAAGAGTTCTGTATTTTAGGACAGTAGTGAGCTAGTCACACCCAACAGAGTCATCTGGGATTCACCACTTGAAAGCTAGTTTTCTGAACCAAGTATGAGCTGAATCAGAACTCTGGAGTGGCTGTCCTAGAAACTTCACTATAAACAAATTTCTCTTGCTGACACTTAGATAATTTACCCTAGTGGAACCTTAGTATTTTGTATATTTTTCCATCCTCATATATATGTGACCTCTTCTTGAGATCAAAATCACTAAACAAGGTATTCCTAGAATGGGGAGATGAGCAAAGTGTGCTTTTAGTCAAGAAACACACACGCCTACACACACACTCATACACTCATGCTCACACACTCACATTCATGCTCACACATGCACATTTGAAGTAGATGCCAAACAACTGTCTTTCATACTAGAAGATCAAAATCAAAGAGGTTCCCCTGAGTTTGGGGAATGGAATGCAGGTTAGCAAGTTAATTGTGTCAGAGAGGGAGTAAGTGGTGAATAATAATAATAATAATAGTCATAATAGTAACATTGTAGTTCTTCTGATACTCTTGTTCTCACATCATCACATCATCCTTTCAATATTAAAATGTATTTGGTGTAGTAAATTACTTTCAATGCGGGAAATAATCAAAATACCAAGACTGTACTGCCTGTCACCTCTTCTATATGGTGATAATCTGTATTAATAATTTACAGAGGTGAACTTCCTTTCACATAACAGGCTTAAAGGCGTTACTCTATTCATGGTTTCCAATTTGGGGCTTTTTAGAAAATCTAGTTAGGTGCAAGTTTCTTCTCTGGCCCTCCCATGTTAACTGAGACACAATCTAGTTAGGTGCAAGCTTCTCTGGCCCTCCCATGTTAACTGAGACACAATCTAGTTAGGTGCAAGCTTCTCTGGCCCTCCCATGTTAACTGAGACACAATCTAGCTGCAGCTCTATTTTTCAATGTTCAGATAACCTCTGCAATTAGGATGTCAGATAATATATATTCCATCACTCTCAACTCAGGTCTAGCTAAAACTTTAGTATTTCAAACTGTGTTAAAATATTACCAAATACTAAATATTCTAGCACACTGGAACTTTCCTAACTTAAAACTCACAAGGAAAATAAACAGAATTAAAAAGAAGACACAATAACAGGGGTAGAAAATTATGTGTGAAAAATACAAGCAATTTTTTAGCCTCTTTGGATCCCTATGTTCAGAAATAGGACATACCTCAGAATATAGGATTCCCATGCTGGTCCTTCCTGGGTTTGCTCCCGTCTACAGTGCAACAGTGAATCTTCTGGAGGCGTTTTTAATTAACATTAAATTTCTTCCCAGAAAAAAATGTCCCTAGAAGTCCAAGGCGGTGGCGAGTCCTGTCTTTCCACACCTGGGAGTGCTGTCTGTGACAGCAACACACCTTGTGGAGAGACCGGCTGATGAAGCAAAGGCATCGGCTTACTAGGTAATGATGCCTGAGCTGGATCATTATTACAGCCAGGGGAACCGGTTTCTGAGTCATGTGTGCTCTGCCAGTGGAGGCCTCTGATAAAGAAGGAAACAAAGGTGGGGTGCTGGGAGGAGGAACTTCTCAGACTAGCAGGAAGAGCTCAAAATAGGACACTGTGTTTAGGAAATTTCTTAATTGTAATATAGCATTCAGTGGCCAATATGGTCAGATAACACATTATTGAGAGTCCTGGGGTCTAGTTGGACATATAATCCCCAGATTCCTCACAACTCATTGCTAGCAGGTGATACCTTTCCCTGACCACTTGGAGTCGTATAAGCTGGCTAATAAATTAAACTTAACTTATTAATGTCTAATTTTTATTGGCATGTGGTAGTTGTATGCACTTACATCCAGTACTATGTAATAATTCAAACAAGGATTATATATAATGGTCAAATAAGAGTAGTTAGCATTTCTACAGGTTTCTGTGTAATTCTGTGTGTTGAGAACCTTCAAAGTCCTCTCTGCTACTTCTTTATGAGAATAAAATCCATAACAAGTCACTCAGGTACTGTGGAACACTAAGGCTGACTCCTTCTCTAACTCTATTATGACACCAGCCACTCACCTCCTCCATCCCCACCAGTACCTTTCCAGCCTGCAGTGGTCACTAGGCTACTCTCTTATTATGGTGCTGTTGAGACAAGTCAGCTCCCTGCTCGAAGTTCTTTTGTGTTGTGTAAAACTGCCTTGTCCAAGAGACTTCATTTTACAAGCAATATGTGAGTCCTCTGTGATGACTGACTGTTCATTTTGCTGGACACATAACCAATACCATTCATCCAGTTCCACCTGAGAGGTGCAGACTGATAAGTAGCTTATTCCTAAAAGGAGGAAAGATGTCACCATATACAGTGGTCATTGTGAGCAGGGACTGCAGAAGCACATGGACATATAGAGATCATGGTAGGAAGATGAGGCTAAGGACTTAGCGGACACTCCAAAGTGAGGAATGGAAGCAACTCTCTCACATGGACCAATGGTGATACTCTATAGACCATTCAACTGACCTCCTGACACATTCATCAACAACCTAGGGATGAGAACTCACTACTTCCCCCTGAGACTTCAGCTCAGTTCAGCCTCTATCCTGGATGCAACCAACCTTAAATTTCTATTCATCCATCTCCCGGTATTCCTTTCTGTGTCCAGTTACTGTGGTCCAGATCCCATGTCTCATTTTTGAAGCTCCGCTCTGCCCCTGTTGCCTGTGTCTACCACTACTCCCACCACCACGGCAGCTGCGGTGCCTCCAGAAGAATGACTGCTTCCTTATTCCTGAGCAGACTCTCTGATAGCAGAGATACATGTGTGGCATAGAAGGTGTGACCTGAGAGTGAGTAGTAGCTATTAAGATAGATACATGGAAGAGGGCCTAGGTCTTATCCCAAATGATATGGCAGACTTTGGTGATCCCACTATGGCAAACCTCACTCTCCCTGAGGCATGGATGGGGTAGTGGGATGGGGAGGTGGTAGGGGGAATGGGAGGATGGGAGGGAGATGGAACTGAGATGGCTATGCAAAATACAATTGTTTTTAATTTAACTAAAAATTAATTTTAAAACATAAAAAATAGATTGGATTAAGAGCATCTGTGCTTGTCTCGTGGAAAGGGGGACTTCTTGGAGAATTGCTGTCAATAAAACTGATCTATCTTGTGAATTTTTTGTTACAATGAAGAATGACATTTTAGAAAGACGAATGTGTTCATCTATGTTTTTGACATAATATGCTTATGACACATGAAAATTTCTGAATTGTTGTAAATGGCTCAACATTATTTCCAAAATCAATTACTGAACTATACATCTAAAAACTGACTCATTAAATATTTTGGTCAAACATGCTAATATGCCAAATTCCTTAAATATTGTAAACATATTATGCGTTGTGTATAGTGACAATTATTCACATTTTCTGTTAAAGGTACTGCTTTGAATATTTTCAGAATTAAACACCTCTTTCCACACTCTGCCACGCACACATGAAAGAGATGGTGCAACTGTCTCAAACTGGTTGATATGGTTTTCCCAATCATCTGAGGATGTTTAAAGGTCAAAGGGGTTGGGTCCTATACCTATTTAGGAAAAATCGTTGATTCCATTGATGGACTTATTGAAACTTGAAAAGGAGGGGTTTTGTTTGTTTCTGCAGTACCAGTGGATTTAAGCCAGTGCTTCATGTGTGCTAGGCAAGTACTCTACCACTGAACTATATTCTTAACCTCTTGAGTTATCTTAATGATTGTCATAAGAAGAATTATATACCTCTGCTTTGAAGTTGCCATTGAAACCAGCCTCCCAAGCCTTTAAGGATTACTTAATTCTTAAAGGAAACAGATGCCTGCAATACCCACCAAGATTACAGTTGACTTCCTCTTCGGGGCAGTTTGATTTTTGTATTTTCTTTGTTTCCTAATTCACTTAAACATTTTCATTCATCCTTTCTCCACTGGAAAGGGCATTCTCTGAAGCTAAACTTTTGTATGCCTGTAAGGATGCATTTTGTAGTTTCTATGTTCTCCTTTGTTTTCTAAACATTTAAGCATCTTGTCATTGGCTTAGAAAAAAAATCACCGTGTCTCCACTGTGATATTCATTCTCTGAAGTAAATCTTTTGTAACCCTGTAACAACTCCTTGTAGATGCTTTCAACTAATTTGTGAAGACAGAATTCTTCATTTCCCTGCCCCACTGCCCAGGTTGATGCAGTTTCTTCATCCAAGCTTTCCTCCCTGAGTGAACATTAAAGGTTTATTTAAGTGATTTTCTATGAGCACCATAATTCACCTAGTTGGAGTCTTCATGCCTTGTTGGTGAGGTCTAGTTCGAAAGGAAGGAACAGTATGCATTTTATTATAACCATAAAAAAGTAACATTTCAATGTGGGATTAACTCTGAAACAAAACAATAAAAGGAAGTTTATCCACTACAATTTGTAAAACACATTAACTCTAGGTCACTAGATCTCAACATTGGACTACCAGATATGTTGAATTAAATTTAAACTCCCACTGTTTCTGAAATTACGTGGAACACTTTATACTACAAGGTACTATGTTGTTTCACTAAAAACTAAGGACATTTGGTAATTCCTGAGGATGCTTTGATGTCACACCTAGGGCCTGGGAGGTTGCTGTATGATGGGTGGAAGCCAAGGGCATTGCTGAGCATCCCATAACATGAGACAGCTACTCCACTGCAACATCTGTCTAGTCCACATCGGTGGTCAGGTAAAATAATGGAGGTCTAAATTAATGAGTGAGTTAGAGGTGAAGAACAAGGACATGGACAGTGATGATGTTAGAATACAAAACAGAAAACTGATCTCATAATAAAGCCTGTTAAACCATAACTATTACAAAACCATGTGGGGTCCACTTTGCCAAGCTGAACCATTTAGTACAAAGTCACATGCGAAAAAGAAGTTCCAGAAATCTTTTCTGTCAAGAAATAATGTCTGAATCCAACACTAAGCTCTTAAAGTTAGAAGCTTCCATCTGGTCCTATCTACTAAAGAGTACAACCTTGGCTGCCCAGCAACCAGCTCCTCCCAAGGGAAGGCAGGCTCCTGTAAGCTGTGTGGTACAGACTTCCCAAAGAGAGGTTTAGTAGAGTGTTCATGGATACTCATGTTTTTCATGAGTTCTCCAGCATTGTCTAAAGGCTCCCACTGGAGGAGATTAAGTGCAGGAATGTGGTGATCAAAATTATTCATCTCAGTAAAGTTTCTTCTGGCTACTATGTCAGGGTGGATGCAAGACTACTTCTTTCTCCAAATCTTTCTTACGGATGATCTGTATTTAGTTTTTTAACTGAAAATTAAGTATATGATCTAGAGGACAAATTGCAATAATGAACACTGATTTACCTCCTTTTACAAAGCAAACTGAAGAGCTGGAGAAATGGCTCAGCAGTTAAGAGCACTGACTGTTCTCCCAGAGGACCTGGATTCAAGTCCCATCACTAATATGGCAGCTTACAACTGTCTATAACTCCAGTTCCAGAGGATCAGGCCCCCTCACATGGACATACATGCAGGCAAAACACTAATGCACATAAAAATAAATACATCTTAAAAAAGCAAACTGAGACACAATGCCATTATAAAGAGTTCATTTAAACACTGAGCCTGGTGGTACATGCGAGTAAGCCCAGGTTCTCAGGAGACTAAGACAGAATAGTAAGTTCAAACCCAGCCTTGCTCAACTACAGAGGTCATCCTGTGCAAAGTACAGGATGAGGCTTATATTAATTATAAACTTAGGCTTCTTATTGGCTAGCTCTCTCTTAATTATTAACCCATTCTATTAATCTATGTATTTCCATGTGGTCGTAGCTTATTGGAGAATGCCTAGACATCCTAACTTCATGGTAGCTACATGGCATATCCCTGGTAACCGACTCTCTCTGTTCCTCCTGCCAGAATTCTCCAAGTCTGGTAGCCCTTCCTATACTTCCTGCCTGACTACATCCTGCCTGTTCATTTGGCCAAAGCAGCTTTATCCATCAACCAATAAGAGAAATATATATTCACAGTATACAGAAAGACATCCCCCATCAAATTTAAATCCCAGTACTACAGAAAGAAGAGGGCAAGGATTATTCATGCAAACAATGCTTCTTAAAATTGGCAGCTACAAATCAGAAATGGTTCAAGGAGGTCTTGGAGGGCATTACAGGGGAAGGTTTTCCTGCGTCACACAGAGATATAATTGAGCAGCCATTGGCTGCAATCATATGACTACCATATTGTTTATTGCATCTGGCCATTTACAACCAGGTTAGCTTTACGGTTAACCTTTACTTGTTTTTCTTTAATACAAAAAATTATAAGAAATATCCTAATTTAAATGATATTTCTGTTTGCAAATCAAACAAAGTTAATATTATTATGAGGCCCCAGGCTGTTTCTATTAAATCATTCATCAGTACTGACCTAGATTTTTATTTTA